AAAAAAAAAAAAACAACTCATATACAAATGAATTTCAATTTTACTGAGGAATGTTTACCTCCCCGTGCCAAATAGCTGCAGCCACATGACTATTGAAACTCCGCAGTATTGACGGATCATTCGGTCCACCTGGAAAAGCATGAGTAAGGTACTCTTCCTGGACAGGAGGAGAATCAGGTAAAGAGGTATCCTCCACACCAATGTCAGGCATATCATAACCTTCAACTCGTCTTTGGCTTCGGCTCCGACTTTGACTGGCACTGGGGATATTATATTCTACCGAAACTGGATCACGACCTCGACCACGACCTTGACCTCGTCCTCTCCCACGCCCTCGTCCCCGTTGATGGTCTACATCCAATTCACGACGTCGTCTATTTGAAGCAGTAGGTGGGACACGTTGTTGATATTCAGAATCCATATTATCTGCAAAAAATACTAAGTATGTGTGTGTAAATAATAACGGAGAGTGTGTGTAAAATTAATGAGAGTGTTTTAAAATATAAGTGTGTGTGTAATGAGTGTGTGTGTAAATAATAAGTGTTTTAAATTATAATGAGAGTGTGTGTAAAATTAATGAGAGTGTGTGTAGTGAGTGTTATAATTAAGTGTTTTAATTAAGTGTTAGAAGGGAAAAAAAGGGAAAAAAAAAATTTGTTCGGAAGTTGTTGTCCGAAAACACCTATTCTGTTCGGAAGTTGTTGTCCGAAAATACCTGTTCTGTTCGGAACTTGTTGTCCGAAATTATAGCTCATATTCGGAAGTTGAAAACCGAAAAAAAAATTTATTTTCGGCACTTGAAAGCCGAACCAAATCAATATTTTCGGAACTATAGTGCCGAATGGAAGCATAAATTTCGGAACTCTACTGCCGAACAAAAACAAAAATTTCGAAAAACCAGTGTCGAATGAAACACGGCAATAACAGTGGACTGAAAATTTCGAAAATGGTAAAAATTAACCCTACATTACAAATAAAATAGGAATGAGAAAATTATAATCTGTGTAAACTAACCTAAAATGTGAAAATTTCAATTCTCTTCAATACTCTTCAATGCCAAAACTTCAATGACACAAATGGATGGATGAAGCTTTTGGGGAGGAATGGCGGAGAGTGTGAGAGATGGGTGTGTGTGTGAGAGGGGTTCTCAGATGGGTGTGTGTGTGAAAGGGGTCTCATGGGTGTGTGTGTGTGTGTGAGGGGGTGTGTGTGTATGATTTACATTTGAGGGTATATGTGGAATGATAGGTGTGTGTAGTGAGTCAAATATATTAGGATTTATTTTTTTAGTGTGTGTATTAAGAAAGATTTGTATAGAGAGGAAAGGGTGTGTGTATATAGAAGCTCCCCTATTAAGCTTGGCCTAATTAGGGGACACCACATGACACTTTCCATTTGAGTAGTTCCTTGAATGTTGGCAAGCGATGAGAGTGGTTATACGCTTGGCCTAATTAGGGGACACCACACGACACCTTCCATTTGAGTAGTTCCTTGAAGGTTGACATGGGACAACTCTAGATCCCATCACGTGCCTTTATCCTAGGCCATCGCTGCCAGGCTACTATTCGACCAATTTATCCAGTTTGTTGCTAGGCTAGACTATTGGTTTTGGACTAAAGCCAAATTTTTGGGTAAGGTTGTTGTGGCAGATTAGACGTGTGCTATTTATATGCGTCAAGCCTTATCGAGCAGTTTACTAAAATTCGGCTTGATTGCTAAATGATCCTAAAAATTGAGCTCTAGTTAATTTATTTTTATTTAGGGTGGTTTGGGATGATCTAAATAAGTGCACTTTTTGACTTTTTATGAACTATGAGTTGGGTATGGGTTG